GGCCGGAGCACGCTTACGTCATGTATGAGATAACGGAGAAAACCACTTTCGCTAATATTTTGCCGAATAATTAATAATAATTAATTTATCATTTATGCCGTGCATTGATTTTCACTTGTATGTATCAGAAAATTATTACGGAGGCAGCTGACGTTAATGAAAGAATTTGCAGCTTTAAATCGCAGACTAATTCCAGTTCATCAATAAGGTGAGAACCAGACCCATTATAAACGAAAATATACTTGATTGAATTAAATTAATTGAAAAGTGTAGTGTAGTAGTAGAAATAGTATATGTTTGCGGTCGTAATGATGACAGTAGCGCACACAAAATAGTATCTGTTCCGTGCTCCAGCGCTGTTAGCGCTCACACTGCATGCGGTACCGTGCCCGAGCCCAACCGAAACTCATTTGTTTATGAACTAGACTACACTGGATGTGCTGGATGATTTTTGCATGCGGCCAGCAAAGAAAACACAACAGAAAAACAATTTTTTAGCATCTTCCTCTATCTCATCATCACATTCAATTCAGAGTGCAAATTCGCAAAACATATTTTTGCCGTGACTTTGTATATTCAACAATGCTGGAAAAACACCACAAAATTGGTGTTAAGGGCAAGTTAGTCCAATTTTCTGTAGTGTATACAGACACATATACACTCTAGCAGTAATCCCTTAATGCCAATACTGTGGCAACGGCCAAAAGGGCTGTAAGTTGGCAGTAGCTTAAGGTGGATTGAAATCCACTTCTTGCTGTACCCCCTTCTGCTAACACCACCATTTCTCTTGGGGTTTTCCCTTGTGATGCTGATCTGCTCAAAATTCCACTTCTGTCTTGAAATAGCCAGGGCTATTTGCCTTGCTTTAATGTTTCACATGCCCTTTGAAGCCAGGTGATGAGGAGAGAAACAGAGAGAGAGAATTTGAAAGGACGTGAAAGAATATATCGCACCATTGTGAGAAGCCAGTCCGACCTCCCAAGAGAGCACTCAACCACTGTGAAAAAAAAGCCACACATCTAATTGGAGAAGTGAGCAAGAGACTGATTACTTAACACGCGAAGATAGAGGGGGAAAAGGAGATGAGATGGATGAGCGGGGAGCTTAACTCATTAGAAATCTTTAGATGCATTGATTAGGTCCTGCGATGCAGACGTTTAAAGCATGTCTGCAGCACAATGAATCAGGACGAGCCAATTATGAAGCCTTTGAAGAAGAGGCCAGAGAGTGTCAACTCATCTCGCTCAGTTTCGAACAATACTCTCTCTACAGAGAGAGAGAGAGGAGGAAAGAGATATAGAGGGTTAGACAGAGTATATGAAATGTGAGAGGGCCATGCTCTTTCTGTTCATCCCAAAGAATGACAACACGGAAGAATGGAGGTGTAAGAACATCATAATCCTCTTTCTTTATCTCTCGCTCTTTGTTCCCACAGACTCGACATTCCGGTACACAGGCAGTCCGGACAGCCTGCGCTCCCGTGCTCCTATGATCACCCCGGACCTGGAGAGCGGAGTTAAAGTCTGGCACTTGGTACATTAGCAAGTACAGCGAAGAGGTGAGGCGAAATATCAAAACAAGCTGTCAACCCTAATTTTCAAAACATCCTTATTGATTTCTTGCATTATATTAATGCAGACTGACTTCCTGACTCTGCTCTGTATTGAAATTGACCAGCTCCACTGTCTAAAATGCCTGAATATAGCCACAAAAAGTCAATTATAAAACATTTATTTTGTTTATGGATTGATGGTTCTAGGCTAAGAGTAAAGAGTGTCTACATTGGATGCATGTCATATACACTGGAACTTCAGATCATTACATCAAAGCCAGACAATGTTTCTTGTATCTAGAGTACTATATTGTTTTACTGAAGTTTAGCTGACAGATGATTGGCTAGTAAACCACAATTTAGTTGCCAAAAGATAATCAGTTGATGTCTGAACTTATATATATATATATTGTACTTGTGTAGGTCCTCAATCATAAACACTTTGTCCAAAATCAATACAGCCATATTTGTGGAATATCTAGCACTTTCAAACAAGATGTACTCATGAAATAGAGTTTCATAGAATGATGTCATCTTTAACCAGCCTCTAAAGCCAGCAGCAGCAAGCTACAGAGTCACACACACACTTATGCACAGTGTGGGGACAGACAGAGAGCGAGAATGAATAGGCTTCTGATGAGGAAGATTACACACAGCTAGATCACTGGCAGCCACTCCGACACAAAGAACGCTAGAGTAGGGCCCACGATGGAGATGTTCCAACCATAATGGCAGCTCCACTCAGGGGACCCATTAGTCTGACCTTTACTTTACACAGCATTTAGGGCAGCGCGGAGAGCCCGGAGACACAGCTCCGCCTGCAGCCTTTCCTCTCGCTCTCATGTAAATATCGTTTCTTTGGTTGCTGGTCTGTTTTCTCTTGTACTCACATTCTCGCGAACTCTCAATCCCTCTTTTTTTGTGTGTCCTTTTCATTCTTTTATACACAGGGTCTGTCTTTCTACAAATAGAACAGTGATTCCAATGCAGGAGTATGTTTATACCAGGGGTACTTCAGATTCCAGTGGGTACTTAGGAAGATTTCGAGTTTTCTTTGTAGATTAAATCAGTAAATTTACATTTAATAATTGTTACAAATTGTAGAGGTGTCACAATTGACGTTCTTTTTATTTATTTATTTATTATATAAATAAAAAATACACTAAGTACTATAATATACACTAAATACTATAAAATAGTACATATAAAATTATTATAATTTGTGTGGATGACAATAATGGTGTGAATATACAGCTACTTATATAAATAAATGAATAGTAAATATAAATAATATACTATAAATAAATATAATACATGTACATAAAATGTTGATTTGAGTTGAAAATTATGTTTTATCTTTCATGTAGATATTAATGTATGTATATTATTATTAATCTGAAATTCAAGTATATATACACACACACACACACACACACACACATAGTGTTTGATTATACTGATTGGACTTGATTAGGAAAGCCACACACCTGTCTATATAAGACCTTACAGCTCACAGTGCATGTCAGAGCAAATGAGAATCATGAGGTCAAAGGAATTGCCTGAAGAGCTCAGAGACAGAATTGTGGCAAGGCACAGATCTGGTCAAGGTTACAAAAAAATTTCTGCTGCACTTAAGGTTCCTAAGAGCACGGTGGCCTCCATAATCCTTAAATGGAAGACGTTTGGGATGACCAGAACCCTTCCTAGAGCTGGCCGTCCGGCCAAACTGAGCTATCGGGGGAGAAGAGCCTTGGTGAGAGAGGTAAAGAAGAACCCAAAGATCACTGTGGCTGAGCTCCAGAGATGCAGTCGGGAGATGGGAGAAAGTTGTAGAAAGTCAACCATCACTGCAGCCCTCCACCAGTCGGGGCTTTATGGCAGAGTGGCCCGACGGAAGCCTCTCCTCAGTTCAAGACACATGAAAGCCCGCATGGAGTTTGCTAAAAAAACACCTGAAGGACTCCAAGATGGTGAGAAATAAGATTCTCTGGTCTGATGAGACCAAGATAGAACTTTTTGGCCTTAATTCTAAGCGGTATGTGTGGAGAAAACCAGGCACCTGTCCAATACAGTCCCAACAGTGAAGCATGGTGGTGGCAGCATCATGCTGTGGGGGTGTTTTTCAGCTGCAGGGACAGGACGACTGGTTGCAATCGAGGGAAAGATGAATGCGGCCAAGTACAGGGATATCCTGGGCGAAAACCTTCTCCAGAGTGCTCAGGACCTCAGACTGGAACTAAGGTTTACCTTCCAACAAGACAATGACCCTAAGCACACAGCTAAAATAACGAAGGAGTGGCTTCACAACAACTCTGTTACTGTTCTTGAATGGCCCAGCCAGATCCCTGACTTAAACCCAATTGAGCATCTCTGGAGAGACCTAAAAATGGCTGTCCACCAACGTTTACCGTCCAACCTGACAGAACTGGAGAGGATTTGCAAGGAGGAATGGCAGAGGATCCCCAAATCCATGTGTGAAAAACTTGTTGCATCTTTCCCAAAAAGACTCATGGCTGTATTAGATCAAATGGGTGCTTCTACTAAATACTGAGCATTTTTCAGTTTTTCTTTTTTAATAAATCTGCAAAGATGTCAACAATTCTGTGTTTTTCTGTCAATATGGGGTGCTGTGTGTACATTAATGAGGAAAAAAAATTAACTTAAATGATTTTAGCAAATGGCTGCAATATAACAAAGAGTGAAAAATTTAAGGGGGTCTGAATACTTTCCGTACCCACTGTATATAGTTGATAATATTGTATAATCTATCTTGTAGATAATACTGCAGTCATCAGGATGCCGAGAATTAACTTTTATAAATGTATGAAGATAAAAATACTATATTTGATATCCAATATAATAGTAGTTAAAATGAAAAGGAAAGGAAAGCATGTCTGGTTTGCTGTCAATGAATTGAGCCTTGTGGGAGACAAACAATGTTTGGAAAGCACTAGTGTAGACCATCAAGCCACCTGCTTGTGTTTATTTTCCCTGTCGAACTCCAAAAAAGAAAATGCAAGCGCAATGCTAAGAGAACATTGTTTTGTTCACCCAGCCAAATGTGTGTGGCGGGACACTCCGAACCTGCATGCAGTAATTCAGATTCATTATACAATGCGAATAGGACAACTAAAAATAATTACCTCTGTCAGCGCTCTGGAGCACTTAACCTGATGAGAGAGGGAGAGAGAGTGCTAGACAGAGAGAGAGAATATGTGCTCCTCTTAAAATGAAGGCGACTGAATCAGACACAATGATGTGGAGAGTGCTCCTGCAGCTGTGCTGAAATGCATGAAAAATTCAGTGCACGTGCTCCTCGAATACATGCTCACACTGTGAACCTCTAACGCAAGCTCGCAGCGGCTGCAGGAGTGATGACCTGCCCCATAGCTACAGGCACGGGGACGAACCGAGCAGGTGTGGGCCCAACTTGGCTCTGATGGCAGGCGTACTGGGAATACAGGGATGCTGACTGAAGATGAAACAGACATCTAGTGCTTTACCATCCAGTTGATGGCTTCCAAAATAGACTTTTACACGTGAATGCTTCTGAGTTTGATGGTAAAGTGACACTACTGTAATTCCTTATTTTCGGTGAGATGAAATTTAAAGCCGAGCAAGGGTGGACTGAACTTGGTTTGGATGTGTGGGGTGGTATTGCATTTATTAAAGATCCTAAAGTTTACCCAAAAGGTTGCAGATTTCTTTAAGATTAAGATATTGTGCCTTTGAGCAAGGCATTTAAAGGGCCAGTTCACCTAAAAATCATTAATCACCCTCAAGTCATTCCTAACCTGTATGACTGTATGAATCTGTGGAACACAAAAGATATTTTGCAGAATGTTCATGCTGCTCCTTTAAATAAACATACAGTACTTCTGTATATTCAAACTAGGTGTGACACTATTAGTTATGATACACACAAGAGCATGTGGTGGAAATAGCCATGATTCACTGGGGTTTCCTTGGAAAGGGAGTCAGAGGACATTATGTAATTTATTTTTTGTGAATTTGAGATTTATTTTAGTGGGAATATGCATAGATGGCATCCAAAAGAGCTTAACTACATATTGCTAAATTGCATTTTATAAGATTACAGCAAATTACAAAGCTATTGGATTGTTTCTCACATAGTTACACATATTTGCATTGTATAGACCATTTTATGTGCTTTTTTGTTATTATTGTTAACTCGGACTATTAAAAATAATTTTTGTTAATTAAAATAAAGCTGAAATTAAATTAAATTTAAATTTAAATAAATAGTTACATTTTCAGTCGAATAACTAAAATAAAAGTTGGAAATAAAAAATAAAATAAAAACTGGAATAAAAAGCTAAAACTGAAATAAAACTAAAACAGTAAAACAGTACTTATCTAAAAATAAAAGCTAATTCAAAATAAAAATTACAATAGTATATCAATAATACTAAAATAACACTGCTTGACGGTCCCTGTACAGTCACTTTTTTATGCTTTTGATGTATGCTAACAGAAGAACAGAGTGAACATTCTGCAAAATATTTCTAGAGAAGTTTGCATAATCCGAATTTTAACTTTAGGTTTCGCCATAGCAGTACTTGTATAGTTTGGATAAACATGTCAGTTGAGTGACATAGTATTCATAAAGTTGGAAGCAATGGATCGCTGTGAGTTTGTGAGTGATGAACCACATTCTCTTTGTTTACAGTCAATCATTCTTTCGCAGTTACAAGAGGAGATTTCCACATACACCCACCCTCCAGTGCTCTCACGTCCATCGTTTTAGGCTTTGAAAGCTATCATTAATGAAGGCCCCATCTTGGCTCGCTAGATGTGCCCGTATCGATCTAGTTTCCCATTATTTTCACTGTTTGATGTGCAAATGAATGGCAGACAGAAGCCACGATGCCACTTCCTGTCGTGTTCCTCTGACACCACAGTCAGAGTTTATGACGTGAGCACAGAGAGGGGTCGATCCCGTCTGCCTGCCCCCTCTCAA